ACTTTTTATAAAGACTCTTTAATATCATTTACGATTGATGCTGGTGTGGAACCAGTTTATAGCAAGGCAATAAATATTTCCCTTGTTATGCATTTAAAAACTGACACTGTTTTAGATAGACTTCTCGCAGGAGATGTTATTAAACCTATGGCAAACCTTGCTTGGTTAACTCCGATAAGTAAGCCATAGGATGAAGTTCGTTTTTATAATAACGATAAAATTACTTTAAATATTGCAATGACTGATCATCCCGATCCACTTCTTAACATTCATTATCTAATCTGAGAGGATCAGCTTTTTCACAAAAATCGATCTGTTTCAAGTTACCTTCAGCTTTCAGTCGGTGATAAATGTGCTGAAGGTTCAGATAATTATTAGAAACAGAGGTGCTTACAAGCTTAAAAGCTTGCAATAGTGAACTAACGTTGCTTTGGATTACTTCAGGGCCTTACAGATAGCACAAATGACAAACTAGAAAGCGTTATTGTATACTTTGATGATATTCGTATAAAGGCTATACTTTTGGAAGAACTCGCTGATAAATTGTGAGGAGTTCTAACGCACCTCAAAAAACCAGGTGTAAATATATATAAAGAAATTGTTAGTTGGATGCAACCTATAGAATTATTGGGATGCAAAATTAAGACAGATTCCTAATAAAGCGACTGTTGCGAAGCATTTACTTGGCTTGTTGAGGTAAAATGCTGTAAGGAAATTTACTGGTCAGTATAAATAAAGTGTATAAAGAATAAAACTTCTCTTAACTTCAGATTAATGTTTTTGATAATTATTATTATTGTATTAATGTCTTTTGATAAAAAAATTCTTATAATTCTTATTTGTGGTACTTACAGACAACCATGAAAATCTAGTTACTTTTACATCGAGAACTATAACTTCTACTGAAGAAATTACGATTACAAATTAATAAGAAAATCTTATGTATTATAGATATTTTTCGGTTGCCTATTATGATCCCATTTACAATGTGTGCTCAATTTTTCTGTGTCATGTTATTTTTTCCTCAAAAGCTCCTCCGCACATGTGCTTTTGTAATGAATCTGCGGGCTTCTCTCAAGCATTTGAACTCTTACCATGCTAGTGAACTAATTTTGAAATTTGATATCGTACACCGAAATCACTAAGTGCGTTAGGACTCAAAATGATTTGCTATGGCTCCAAAGTATCATTGGAAGAGTCTGTGAAGTGGCGAATCTTCGACTATTTAGAAGATGGGCAGTAAACCGCGGAAGCACTGAGATGGGTAAGTATTACAAGACAGATAGCCTGTACGGCTATGGAAACAATTTCAAAACTCTGTACTATTGTAAAAAGTGTACTGTTGTAAAAAGGTCTGGATAAGGTCGTAAAAGAAAAATAAGTACTTAAGATCGATATCTGGCAATAATTGCCATTCAAAACATTAATTTGCTGCTTGGCAGTTACTAGCAGAGCTAGTAGCCGCGATTAATGAAAAGGCCTTAATGCAAAAAAGGCCAAGAATATGTGATTCACTGTATTCACAACAAAAGAGGGATTGCTTTAATTAACCGGTACAAAAGAATTAGAATTGGAGTGATCACTAATGGTATCGTTACCTTTACTACTGAATAGGGGTATAGTTTAGTATCTTTAGTATCTGATTCTAAACAAGTATACATCTGAAAGAAAGTTTCCGTCGAACATTTTAAGATCGTGGAGAGCTCCGCTAATGCAGGTACGATGGTATGGGAAGGAATAACGATCGATGGACGTACATTTCTAGATGCTTTCAACAGAGGATCTAAAACCGGCCAGAGGTAACGAGATGAGGTCTTCGAACCTTATGTAAGACATTTCACAGGTGCATATGGAGCTGACGTTTTATTTTAGGACAATAATGCTCGATTACATCGAACAAACCTCGTTGACGAATTCCTTGAAAGTGAAGACATTGAGAGCATACTATGGCCATCAAAATCTCTTTATCTTATCGGATAGAGAAATTACCGGACTGCCTTGGGAAAGCAGTTACACGGAGACGAGAGATGTAAATGCCCTGAAGACTGCATTGCTGGAGAAGTGGAACTTAATTCTCCAAACTATAGTTAACAGCGTTTTGACAGCAAGAAAACATTTTGTGATTACGTGTATACAAGCCAGGGAAGAACATGTGCCATATTAAATTCATGTCTTAATTTTTTACTGCTTTCTTCTTCTTCCTCCTTTTTTAAAAATCTTCTCGTAATATATTATTACTATGTTTATTATTTCATGCTACAGTTTTATATCAAATGCAGTGTTCTTAAATTCTGTATTTATGCGCTATGATAGGATTCATTCACTAAAAATCAATAAAGCTAAGGTTTCTGAGAAAAACTATAATGTTAAGCTAATTTTACACATGAATGCATTTGAGTCAAATACTTTAGAAAATCACCAAGAATCTGCAAAATATTTAAAGTCACTTCATTTTATATAACTATTCTCCCATGCTCTTTCAAATGTCTTTCGTTAATAATGCTTTTTTGCTTTCCACTTAATTATAAAATTTTAAAAATAAATAAATAGATTTTAAAAATATTATTTGTTTAAAAATGTCCTGGAATTTATTTGAGAAAAATCATAAATAATTAATTAAACGCATTTGGTTAATTATTTTTTAATTTTAGTTAATTATGATTAATTAAAATATAATTGCATCAATCATAATTAACTATTAATCATTATATATTTTTCAAAATTGAACTCAGTATTTAATGTTTCTAATTATAATTTACACTACTTTATTTTCGATAAATCTGAACGCAGGAAAAAAAACTTTTATAAAAAGAGTTTTTTGGTATTTTAGGCTCATAATTAAGTGGAACATGCCATAAAATTCTATACTAAAAGTTAAAGAAATTTGCTTATAAATTTTCTTAAATGGGAAGAAATTTGTTTCTCCTGCGTTACAAAAGCGCCGTTGTTTTTTTGATAAATAAGTCCTGTTGTTATTAGGGAGATGGTCATCATCTAATGACTCATCGGTGCATATTTTTCTTGATATAAAAGCTAAGCGAGAATATCGGATTAGCTCTCTTTTGTCTCTGATAGTAAGAAAAGGTGTATATAGGTGATGCAAAGCATGCATATAATGGTGGTAGAAAATGCGGCAGTTGTTAATATGCTTTACCCTATAATATTAATGTTTTGATGCAGAATGCCTGTTTTCCTGAAAGAGGTGATTTGCGTAATGCATTCATTGCATGATCTGAGTACTGCGCTACTGAAGTATAGAAGCAAAGGATTGAGGATAATGTTTAATGGTTGACAGCATAGCATCGGAGGCTTTTCATTCTACTTTACTAAAAATGCTATTCTGTTTTTCAGATTGTGTTTAATTATCAATGATTATGATTAAAAACTAAATGTGGTATATCACCTTATTACATTATGGTTTTAATATAACATGTAAAAATGCACGTCTTTCTAAATGTCTTTAAATGTACTTTTGCAAATGCATTGCTGCGTATCGAAATTAACAAAAAATATATTAATATTAATTAGTTTTCTCATAAAAATTTTCCGTAAATTTGTTAAAAGTTCATGTTAAAAATTACTCATAAAAATGTAAAGATTATTATAATAGGTAATGAAAATACGTATATAAAATTGGTGATTTAAAGGAAAAGAGGATCTAATGATCTTTTTACAAAAGAAGATAAAATAATCGCTATCAAAATTAAACTATTGCTAATTGGCTATTAACTGACGATAGTTCATAAAATATATTTATGTAGGTAAGAAAAAGGATAGAAATGCTCACTATTTTGGAGAGAAACAATTTTTGATTTAATCTGCGATAACCAGGGTTTCTAAAATTATTCTCAGTATCTTCTAATTATTTTTTTCATTATTATTTGCTTGGTTTTTAAGCAAATAATTATGCAAAAAATAAATAGAACATATTGGTGAGAATAATTTTAGTGTGTGTGTGTGATTATGGTAAAGCCTCGAGGACTATCTGCCTAAAGGGAGGGATGCCTTTCGTGGAGGACTTTCTAAGGCAAACTGGCTCGTATGCACGTTACACATGGGGAAAACCACGAAAACGCCCATGCAGTCAGCCCGTTCGCGGGATTTGAACCTCGGACCGAACTACCAGTGTTCAGCGACTTTACCGCTCGGCCGCTGGTGGGCCATAAATAATTTTTTTTTTTTTTTTAGAAACCATAGTTATTGCAAATTAAATAAAACAATTTTTTTTCCCTTCCAAAATATCGAGCATTTCTATCTTTTTTTCCCTGCATAAATATATTTTACGATCTGTCGTTAGTAAATAGCTAATTAGCAGTAGTTTAATTTTGATAGCGATTTTTATCATCTTTTGTAAAAAGATCCTTTTGGTTTAAATTACCAATTTTTTATATCTTTATATATATTATCATTTTATATCTTTTATATTATTATTATTTTTATATCTTTTATATTATCTTTTTTATTATAATTTAATTTATATATTTATATTGTATTTTCATTAACTATTATTATAATATTTACATTCTCGTAAGAAATTTTTAACATGAACTTTCAATTTTTGAGAAATTTTAATGAAAAAACAAATTAATATTACTTATTATATTTTGTGTTAATTTTGATATGCAGGAACGCATTCGTATACATTGAAAGACATTTAAAAAGACGTGCATTTTCAGATCTGATATTTTACAGAATATTTAGTAGTTTAATCATAAAACTCGTATTTGATATTAAACTAGCTTCAAGTAGTGGCTTTAATGCTCTGTTGAAAGGCAGCTAAAATAGGCGTAGCTTTATTTACTGACTTAAGAACAATAAACTAAAATTTACAGAAATTTTTAAAAACACGTTTTTTGGTCATATTGAATAAGACAATAATGAAAACCATATTTAATTATTCTGAAATAACAAGCTTTGTATCTTTTTTTAAAGGCTAAACTAGGCAGAATGATTTATTAAGGCGTATATAAAGAGAACATATATAATAAAAACTCATAACACACACTTGGCATACATTTTAATGAAGAAATATTCTGTACAATGACACAGCACAAAAATACAGTATTTTCAATATGTACCATACAGAGACAATTTTTTTTTTCAAAAATATCGACGAATACGACATTTAAAAATACACTTTACATGAAGTACACAAAAATATCTTCCATCTAAAACCTAAGATTTGGAAGAATATTGTTTAAAATATTTTGTTGGAAGGTAACAATGTGGAACGGAACAATTGGTTATTATAATGGATATTAATTTAAAATGAATTTGTAGCTACTCAGCCTATATTATGTAATTTAAACACAATATTGCAGCATTTTGACACGTAAAAGTGTTTGTTAAGGAATATATTTGTACTCCGAGTATAACATTGTACTTGATTAAAAGCTCGTAATAGGTGTGGAAGATATATATCTTTTCAAAGCAGTTTAAAACCAGAAATGATAGTTATAAATATTAATATCAGTTTTGTTTTTAATTCATTATGCTTAGTTCATTAATTAGATAATTGATTACTTGAGTTAAGACGTGCAAATAATAAGATATTTCACCTAAAACCATTGCATATATTTTTCTTTTCGTTTTAAGCCATACTAAATAAAATATTGCTTTTACATTTAGAATTAAATATTTAGATTTAATGAAAATATAAAAGAAAATATTTTCCTCCTCCAATAATACTTTCACTTCCTATAATGTAAAATCATAAACATGTACTTAGCTGTTTGGGTAGCTACAAATTATTGTAAATACATTGTTTACTTTAACTTTATTGTATGATTCAATCACAGCCATAAGTACTAATAAACCAATGTTCCCCAGAGATCTCGGTTCTATCTGATTTAGAATACAAATTTATCTAACATGAAACAAATATTACACAAAAATGATTAGCTTCAGAACACAAAATTCTAGGATGAAGAAAATGAAAAGAGTAAATATGATTTTGACTCTATGGCCTAAAGGCATTTTCCTATAATACAGTAACAGGTCAATTACACCAATCCTCTCTACATTATAAATCAGTGAAGACAGACTCTGTACATACAAAGGCCAATTAAAGATGTGCGTAGTGCCATCCGCACACTGCAAGGTGTTTATTTTAGCCAGTATTTAAGAATTAATCTGAGAATAGGCACTACTTCAAGACAATAATTATATTTATTTCAAACTACCTGAATTAGTATTAGCTTACTTTTAACACTCATGCGAAACAACAGGCTAGAGAATATCCCTGTTCAATCATGTTTTCAATAAGACTTGCATTCACAGACAAATATCAGAAAGATCTCGAAGAACAATCCGCAGGCGTTACACGGCCGAAAACCACCGTTCTGCCAGTTAACCACGACCACAGTTCTCGGCTGCCATCAGTTAACACATGCTGACAATTAACCATCTGAGTTGTAAACCTTTGTTAAGTATAGTTTTTGATCCATTTGATAGATGCTAGTTGCATTTCATAGTAATTCCTTTATTACAGCTGCTTCTTTTGTTTGTTTTCGTTAGCAACATACAAACCGTTATTATTATAAAATTTTTTTGTTTCTTTGCGGTAATTAAGCGATGTTCAGCAAAGAAACTTACTTTAATGATTACTATAGCGAAGAGAAGGGTGTTGGAGTGGGCAAGACAGGTAACATTAATTTCTTACATAAGATTGCTACAGCAGATCACTTTTCATCACGTATTTACGCTTTTGATGAAAATCTTAAAAACCGAGACATTAAAGGAGCATATTCTTTAATTCAAAAGTTTAATATGTTAACGAAAATATGGACGAAAATTATTTAATAGATTTGTTATTGGCTGATAAATTGTTCAATATAATTTCTTTGAGATACAATAAAAGTATAATGAACTAAGTTGAGCATGAATGTGGATGGATTTGCTTGCACTAAAGTTAAAAGTTATCTTTATTTGATTTTTAAGCCAATACGTACGCAAAAAGTAAATAGAAAATATTGGTGAGAATAATTTTAAAAACCGCATTATCGTAGATTACATTAAAAAAAATTAAAATACCAAGCCTTTTTATTTTTTACCCTGTATAAATGATCTTTTATGATCTATCACCAAAAAAATAATCAGTTCGTGATATTTTAATTTTAATAGCGACTTTTTTGTTCTTGCGTAAAAAAGTTCTTTTCTTTTAAATTGCCAATTTTGTATACATATTTTCGTTACCAGTTATGATCATTTCAAATCTGAAGAAGACGTATTTTAAATAGAAATCTTAACGCATTCTTTTTGTTACACTATTTTACATAAACATTTTCATACATTTATTTTTGCTATTGAAAATAAAAGGAATATTACTATTAAAGGCTTTTTCTTAATTCATTAAATGCATTTGTGTGGTCTATTTAGAATCTTAGGTGTTTTGAAGAGGGATTTGTTTAAATCTTTGATTGTCTCGTAAATGAGAAACGTAATATAACAAGCAGTATTTTTGCCCTTAAATTTACAATTTTCTGCCTTTCAAGCAGAAGTTATGTTAATAAAACATAAATCGGACACGAAAGATAATGATATGATGCACATAATTTTCGCTTAAGTAAGTACGCCTTTCCAAGTTCATTTTCAAACAATAAAATTTTATATAAGTTTTCATATAAAAGCATCACACAGCAATTTTGTTTCAGAAGAAATATAAATCCAAAAGTTTTATTTAAAACTATACTCTCTGGGATTATTTGAAATAAACAAAATATCCTTAGCGTAAATCAAATAAACGAACAAGATGACCTTAGCGAAGTTGATGGAACAGTTCTTCTATTATAAGCCACCATAAACCACATACTTTTTAATGTCTATTCCACCAAAGGAAAATACTATTCTGCGAAAGTCTAATATATTAAATAAAATTCTAAAATGTATGTAACAAATAATTTTATAATTACAAAATTAGCAATAATACACATTAATCACAGGTACATTATATAGTATTTCTTCCTGAATCAATATCCGATTTTCATTCTTGCAATATATCGTTATCGTATTCTGAGCCATGTGAAATGCTTATAATAGAATAGTTTTTAAATAAATAGTGCACTGTTGTTTTTGGAATTAACCTTCCACGCTATTAATCCTTTGACTGCTTATCCCGCGAATTCCACGGGCAGCAATTTGCTCATAATGCGATTACTGCAGGCATGCACTTTCCCCCTCATATTGCGTTTTCCCGTTTTAATCGTCGATTATGCATTTTTTACCATATTTACACTATGGAGTCATGTTTGAGTAAATAGGTAGCATTATCGTCATCTGAAGTTTCGTAATCACTGACTGATCACTAACAACCACTAACTGATTTTGCATGCGCTGGCGCTGTTATCGTTTCTGTTTTTATTTAGATTACGGCTTTCAGGAATTGTTCAGCAAGTGATAGAATGTATGTTCCTGATCATATTTCTGATATTTAAAGTGAGTAACTATTTTTAAGACAGCAATAGCGAACAGATGATTATTTCTCGGACTCATCTTTAGATAGTGATGAGTCTGAAAGATTCAATAATCAAACAAAATGTTCGGCAGTGGTGTTCGGCAGGTATGGATATATTCTGTCAGCTCGTGTCTCATTTACTTTTCTTGGAAACAGAGGAATAACCGCGAATAAGACGAAAAATGCAACTATTTTGGATTATTTTTAATTTTATAATATGTGGTACAGCTGGAAGATCCAATTCTATTCTGAAGCTTTTGACATTGGCAGTTCGTCATTTTGAAAGCCACATACGACCTTATCCCATAGAAAAAGAGCTTCTCATACAGTGTGCTATTTGTCTCCACCCCCCCAAAAAGTGCAAAGGATAAAAAAATTCAGAAAGAAAATCGAATTTGGTGGAAAGAATGGGAAATAAGATCTTCCCTGCACCTTTGTTTTGAAATTTATCACACTAAACGTAATTTCTATCGTAGTTTGCATAAATATTGCTTACTTTCATTATTATGTATATACTTTACATTTGCATTCTATGAAGAATCATAATTAAATCAAGATTCATTTTCATAATTTTTGTCTTTGTCTGATTACTCTTAAAATTGATTTTTATGGAAGCCTGCTCTTATGCATGAAATACGTATTAAAGAAATCTATGTTACAAATATGTGTTACATATTTTAACCCTAAAATTTATGTAGATTTGTAATAAAAATATGCAAATTTTTAAACACCTTTTGATAAAAAAAAAAAAAAAAAAAAAAAAAAAAAATTCAGCAGTCAGCGCAGCTCTTATTCTATCAATTTGCAAGCCAGTTCCACAACAAGCCAATCGAAAGTTGATAGTAAAAATTCAAGGTTCAAATTACTTCTCCAACAAATTTTAAACGGCATATGACTGAAACGGTTGAGTAGTTACAATTGGACTAGGCACGTCTTCGGTAATAAAAACTACGTCAATTGCAAATGATCATCGTCAATGACTAGGTATGCCTTTGGTAATAAGAATAACGTCAGCCAACAAATTTTAAATGGTATATAACTGAAACGGTTGAGTAGTTACAATTGACTAAAAATGTCTTCGGTAATAACAACTACGTCACCAAAGTTTTAATTTTGAATTTTGAATTTTCAGGATAAATATTTAAGAACAGCATACATCAAGAATTACTTCACTAATACCAAAACATCAAACCTCAGCTTTATTTCTATAGTCATTTACATCTAAAATAACTTTTTGTTTCAACGAAGCCACACAGTGTGATGTTTTTGATGATATTTTGATGTGCGAAAAGGAACAAAAACAAGCGAAATCTAGGAACTCAACTTACGTATTTCCGAAGGTACCTCCCCCCCCCGGAGGAAAAAAAAAAAAAAAAAAAACTCAGAGTAACTTTATAGTATTATAAAGGTAAAGTCTTTTCTCATTTCGATTAAGGAAAAAAAAAATGTTGTATGTCTTTTGCAAACCGCGGAAAACACTGTGATTGTTAAACGCCATCGACTATAAGAAGCATATCATTTTTAAAGATGTTTATACAAGGAAAACTATGTGTCTTATAACAGAAGAAATACGGCAGGGGCTAATTGTTCTATTTTGATTTTATAAAAAACATTAATGCACATAGAACATACATGAAAAACAAATATTTTTGTTGTTCGTAATAAACTGGCAAGATGAGCATAAGTGTTTTCGTTTTCTTGTTAAACATAATATATTGCAAACCAAAATTTTGAACAAGTTATGTGCAAAATCCTTTAAAAATAAAATGTAAAATTAATTCCACACATACAGTTTTAAAGGAAATGCTCCAAATCGCTTTAACAATGACACACGAAATGTTTATTATCAAATAAAGAAAAAAGTATTGCAATTGAAACTTATAGCCATGATCTGAAATCGACTGTAATTACTGTAGTTTTGCACTACTTGTCCGTTGCCTTCAGTACACAGTCTAGAAGTTTATACAAAATAATCCGTACAGAGAAATGTCACTTCGCGTGGTTTTTGGTGTTTCGAAATTAAAATATCGCTACGTACACGTCAGGATACTCCTTTCATATCGAGATCGACAACGTTCCTCATGTCAGGGTACGAGTGACTACTCCCACCTGCGTCGGTCATTCGTCGCTCTCGGATTCTGCTCTTGCGACGGCCCGGATGAGGTGTCTCCGATAGAATTCTGTGCAATTTATGCCGAGGAGGTGCCAAAGGCGTCACCAAACGCCTCTGGGAACTGGGAACACTGAGGCTGGACCCAAGGCCTTTCTTCCGAGCTCGCACCAACCCGTAGACTACGGCGGCAAGACTTTTGTGCACACTTGGGTGGCGGCCTACCGACATCTGCCTGCCCACTGCTCTTCGTCTTCCAAGTACGTAAAATGTTTCCATTTCACCTTTGCCCTTTACCGCAACAAGGCCTCGGTACTGAACTAAATAGCCATGGGCCTCAAGAATTTGGGCGGTCGCTTTAGGTACCTTAAAAAAAGCAAAAGGAATGTTTAATTTAAATTGTATTTTTATTTCTGAAAGCCTTTGAAATTTCTTTTGTCTTTTATTTATTATACGATGAAATAATTAGATAAAATCATTTGATTTCATAAATATTAAGAGTGAGTATAACATCATATTTGAAAGAGAAAATTAAAGTTTTTCAGTAAAATTTGTTTTACAATTATGCTACATAATTTGTCATAGTTTTGACTGAAATTAAAGGGATTGAATTCTTTCTTTCTTTCTTTCCACCGACAGCGAGGCAGTCGGTCCACTGGGTAGTTAGCATATCGTCCAGATAGCCCTGCTGATGGAAATAACTTGATCAACATAACACACTTATATATACATCTTGTGCTCAAGACGAGTGCTGGGGGGCAGTGTAAACAAATGCTGGACGAGACGATAGTGCAGTGATGGAAGAAGGGTGCATTGCGGGTGAGAACAATTTCAGTTACATATTTACAGAGTTATGGATAGGTGGTTACAAAAGACATCCACAACGTATACAATAAATGAGTACAGTGCAATATATGAGCAATTAACAAAGTTACTGATAAAACAATAAAAGTAATATCTAAAATAGGGCTAAATACTAAATAGCAATACTAAAAATAATAATATGCAAAATACTAAAAAAGTGAAATAATACATAAAATAAAGAAAGGCAAAACAGTGAAAACAGTACATAAAATAAGGCAAAATACATAATTCAAGATTCAAATCAGGGTACAGTCAAGGAGATAAGTATATACAGGGAATAAGAAAAGCCGAATAAGCTAACTTAGATAAAATAATTATTACAGGTACAGAGCAGGCTGTGCTGGTGACGAGGATGCAGCTGAGAATTACTCCAGCTGTCTGAGATTTTGCATGCAATATATGCAATCGCATAGCGTTCAATGATTGCGATTTTTTCGAAGTAGCTTCGGCACATGCATGGATGTGGTTTGCTACTGGTTGCCTAAGATGATATTTGGCAGTCTCTCTGCAAGCGAACAGATAGTGTTCCGGATCAGATAGTGGAACAGATAGTGTAAAGGGATTGAATTATTACATTAGTTTCCTAGTTTAACAATTTTAACAATAATTTGACTTTAAAAATTTACAAAACTGCCGTTGTCGATATTGTGTTTTGCCAGCCAACAGAGAGACCGATTCTTTAGTTTTAACTAACTAGTGGGTGTCGTTCGATATGCGATCTCTTTGATGCATTTAGGTAGAGGGAAACATCGTAAATAACTTTAACGAAGGGAGAAATTATGTGGTTGCAGTCATCATTGTGCTCGAGCATAATCTACATGCTCACAGCACTCATAAAAAACTCTAACATGACTCCCTACACATTAAAAACTGATTTTTATTTAAGCCTTCATTTGCGTACACCTCGACGGATGGGACTTTGTTAGCTCCCTTTCTTCAAATTTCTTATTAGGTTTATAGGTGGCAAAGCGAGGGGGGGGGAGAAGAAAATGTACTTCATCATCCCTTGCATGACTAATCGCCATTGTCCTTCGTGTATTAGAGAAGAAGGGAGAATCAGTAAATCTATTTTAGAAAACATCTCCACGAAATCCGAATGTAAAAGTATGAAACCTACATTTTTAACTCATTAAAGCATAATAAATACAATTAGTTCTCAATTTCAATGATATCGAGAACAACATTTACAGTTAACCTGATTCATCCGAAGGCAGCTAAAAAGTGAGGAAAGAGAAGTAATCCACATTATAATGAACAGAAAATTGCATCAATGATTTACTTTGATTCGGAGTATAAGATCATATGGCTATATAAAGTAAATCAGCATTAACACACTGTAAATAAAGTAAATCAGTATTCAAAATAATAAGAACACACTGTAAATAACAAAGGAATAAACGTTATTATAAACGAAAAAGTCATGCTACAAATGGCATTAAAGACGAGAATTTAAATGGTGACATTCTATTAAATCGAACAATGTAAGTTTACTTCTAGTAGATGATTTAACAATGTTTGTATGTTCTAGTTGACATATAATAAAATTATAGACTAGTGTGAATAAAAGAAACTCAAAAACATTATTACATCATGCGCTATCACTGTTTTTACCTCATGCAATTTCCTGTCCAATTTACAATTCCCCTAAGTATTTTGTTTAATCTCATGGTTTGTGCTAGTAATGTTTCCATTGTTTCTTAATATATAAATCAAAACTTAAATTCATTTTTTGAAAGGCAGCGTCCATTTAATGTGATTAATTCGGCTCATTGGGGTTGTATTTTACTTCTTTTCTCTTCGATAACTAAACGAAAAATTAGCTTTAACTTTTACAGATCAATAGCACCTAATTGTTGACCAATTTTAATAAAATAATTTACCACATTTTAAGAAACATTGTGAACATGAGATCAATAGTTTAACTAAAGCTCACAGCTATCATTTTTAAACATCTGTATGTCAGTTTATTCTGAGAGTTTATCCATAACTATAATATTCTACTTCACCACGCCTCAGTTATTTCTACGGTTACCTGAATTTTGTCAAATGTTCCGGTAGAATCCATACGGCTGGCTTCATTGACAGTATTTCCCCATATGTCATACACAGGTTTCTTGGCACCGATTACTCCTCCCACCAGTGGACCATGGCTTATTCCTAAAAGGGTACCAAAAAAAAAAAAAAAAAAAAAAAAAAAAAAAAAAGGCATAGACATATTTATAAAGAAACAAAAGGATGAGGAGATATAGCATTAAAAGTCATTCAGAGTCATGGAACTGAACTGTAATTAGGAAGTAGACATTTTAAATTCAAAAAGCATTAACGGAATAATAAAATCCAGTAAATAAAAAATGTATTTCACTTCCGTTTCATCTTAAAATTTTACTTCCAAACTGAAACTGCTTCCTTTGTTTTAAAGAAAATAATAAGATTTATAGGGATTTATTTATTTTTGCCTAACCAGTTTCTTTATGTTAAATATCTTTGCTGCCATTTTCCTCTCTGTTTTCCTTCCAGAATGATAATTTTTAGTTCGCGCGTATTCTAATGAGGCAGAAAAAGTATTTAAAGGAAGGTTTTAGATTGTTAAATCAGAGCGTGTTCCGCCTGCTAAAGGCAAAGTTGCTAGTGGAAACTACGATAGCGTTCCTGTCTTCGGTGTCATTTATTCTTGCCAGTAATGCTTCTCACGGTAATGCCAGTAATGCTTCTCACAGGTTTGAGCCAAATTGGGCATTAATGATGTCTGCATAGCCTTTGGCAACTGACGACTTGATTCAATTTCAATTTGAATTTCTATCATTTTCAGTTACTCCAAAAATACTGGCTGGTTTATGCATAAGAAGTAGTGCTTTCTGTTACATTACTCTGAATTCTGAATAAAAAGGTCTTTTACATCTTTCTTAAGTTCCGTTTCATCTTAGATATAGCGAAAAGTAGCTTACACGTCTATTAAGGATTTGCCAGAGTTATACTTAGTTCCAGGCACATTCCCTACAGAGTAATTTATCTTCTCAATTACTCTGCTTTGTGTAAAGCCGTTTAATATTTCCTATGGGCTGTTTCATCATTTGCAGTATAGAGACAAACTTTCTGCAACAGTTTATTGAATGTCTGCAATGGTTTTTAAGAAATCTGAGGAAAACTTCTAAACTATCTTTCATATGTTTCGGCGTAATATCCTGCGTTATGATTCCAATATCTGATTTTTCTCTTTCTTTTTGTTATTTGAATATGACAAAACAGTCGCAGTAAAAATGCTGTGGTTAGCAGTCGCAGTAAAAACGATTTGAAAATTTTTGTCTTCTTAAAATATAGCTATTTTTGCTATCTCTTCTTTCTGCGGAGTAGGAAGCCTATTGTGCTTAACAGCAACTCTGCAGTATGCGCACCCAAATAACTTCTGAACCATCGCAAGCACCAAAACTAGTACAAAGCATTTTGTTCTTCAACAGAACTCGCGAAATTGAAATTCTTGTGGTTACTTCTTTTTAGCGCTGATTGCTAGAGGTAGCATTGACGCAAATATTCTTTTCAGTGAAAAAGGGAAGAGCAAATATGTTTTGCAGTGAAAAGTGGAGTTATTTATTTCTAGCGCGCAGTCTAATCATTTGTTAAGTGTTTAAAGATACCGCGTACACTCGGGACGAATCACTGCGTGATGTTTTTCTCATCCCTAAGTAACTCGGGCGAATCAGGGAAAGGGTTAAGTGTAGCGATACTTTGATGAAAGACTTAAGAGAATTGGCTAGCGTTTAGTTATAGATGAGCAAAACCAAGGAAACGTGCAGGCAGCCAGACCGTTCGTGTTGGAACTCGAATCCACCTCGCGTTCGTTGGTCTCATTCTTCAGCCCCTAGAGTTAACACAAAGTCTCAATCTATTTCAGGTCTAAAAAACAACAGTTTCTTACCTCTTCACTTGTAGTAAGAACGAGACTTATAGGCTAGTACAATACTCAAGGAGACACCTCACTTTATCGCGTAGGCATTCAATAGTATCAAAGCAGTATTATATTTAAAGATTTTCAGTGACAACATGGCAGCAGAAACATGGTGGAGAAAACGGCGAAAGGGTAAAACATCATCATACCAAACAATGCGGTAGAAAATAAAGCAAGGAGGGCACATTGTAGTTCTAAAACGTCGCTGTATGACGTAATGGTAGAAAATTAAGTGGCGACAAAAACATCCAGTTTCAAAAGCGTCGTCATATAAGATGTCATGGTCCAAAAGGAAATCTCTACAAAAATATATCAATACAAACTGTCTCCAAAATATGCATTTTCCGAGAAATTTTATAGCATATCTTGGCGAAGGCAATATTATTCAGAGGAATCCAAATAGAACATTTTTTGGTCCATATTTTGCAGGATAATATTTAAAAATTGCAAAGTTTTGTAGTCGGTTTGCTGTCAGTGACAATGATTTAGAACTTTAACAATTTTTCATACGAAGTTGATTTGTTCGGCGACATTTTCATCCACAATACTTTCGGTGGGCATCTTATTCAAAATCTGCAACGTTGTTTGAGTTTCTGAAGACGAAGATTTGTGCAGTGAGTAACTAATCTGCATGAAAGATTTTCCAAACAGAAAGGAAATTCTTTTACTGTCGACTGACTAATACATTCGAAATTGACTCAAAATCGAAAATGCCTTGCATCGGCATTTGTTAAAGAGCATTTCCGAAATCCGTCAAAAAAAGGTGCATAATGGTCTGCAGCTTTTGCAGAGCTTTGTTATTTTGAAGAGCACCACATATTCTTTTCATAACCAGTTAACTTCTTCAAGTACAGTTTATCAGTCAGATGGTACTCGGAATGCTCGGAGTCTCCAATTTGACCGCAAGTGGATATGTTGTTATTTTTATAACGAAGCGTTCAGTAAGTTGGTAGGCCTAGTCGACTGACTATACGACCCTTAATCACAAGATTTGTGTTTAGCATGGACTCGTGAACATCGATATTGGATTTCGGCCTATTGCAGATAGTAAAATTTAGCTCTAAGTCTAATACATAAAATGAAAAAAAATTAAGTATTCTGTGACCTTGAAAAATGTTTTCAGATATCACAAATTAAGTATCATCTGTACCTTTTGATGGTAACCAAATATCACTTACATAAAAATGTTCTGAAATACATTTGAATTACAGAACAGAATTATTCAGAATGTCACAGCCCTTCAATGTGAGTGGCTGTAGTATATGCTAAATCAGTATAATCTAGAGAAGCAACACTAGAGAAGAATCCGAGAGAAATATAAAGTTCAGAGATGTGGGCTAAGAGATGATGCACATTATTTAATGGTTATTTCTAATATTCAGCTTTTGTGCTGAACAGTGCTAGCTTAGCTGAAGACACAATGAGAGATAATTAATTAGAGTAGAACAAAACGTAACAATGGTAGGTCAAAGACAGAATTAAGGATAGCCGGTTTAAAGTACAGAGGAGAGTACATGAATCATCACTGTTTACCAAATATTGTTGCACTGAGAAAGGTTTATAAATATTTAGCAGCAAAGCACAAGCGAATGCATTTTATTTGCAAAGAAGAAACAAATTTCAAATTTTGTAGACAGCTGTAGTAAGGAGTTTTATGTACAGTACTGTATCATTTGAACTTTAAGGAAAAAAGAAGGTAAAATGTATGTATTGAAAGTAACGTAGCCATTTACTAATGCATAGATTTTTATATAATTTGGTTTTAAAAAATCTTCTAAACTCGGAAAAGATTTTTTTTTGTCATTATTAACGAAAGAATGTTATAGAAATCAAGCCTGATGCACAAGAATATTGAATAATGCATACTCAGTATTATTATTATTGCAGTATATTGTGATTGTTCAATAGTATTTTAAAGCGTTTAATGAATTTGAAACTAAAAATATCACCTATTCTTAATTTGAAATTGTTGAAAGAATGTTTATTCAATTCATCTAGGGCTTCCTTCATTGCAAAGGCAAAATCTACTAAGGCCGTCAGATGTCCCCATTCATCGGGACCCTAGAAAGTTTAAAAAAAGTACACAAGATATTATCATAAATGTTGATTACATAGAATAATAATTGTTCCAAGCATTATAAAATTCCTTAACAATGTAAGTCATAGAGGTATAAAATAATTTACGTCAAACATATCTTAACTGTGAATGAATGCTCCGTAAAAAATGAAAGCTGCTTTATTCTGACATTTTATCCGCAAAACAATCTCATTTACATTACAAATAGCTACTTAGAAAAGGCCTGAATCTTCTACTGTAGTTTCTAGTTACGTATTTTATGTAAAACTGAGCTTTTCATGGAAATCTTGTAAAAACAATATATATTCCAGATCATTCAGATTTTATGGTTATGTTAAAACTTATTAATATCGTTTTAATTTTTTTCCTCCTGTTTTGAAAACATTCGCTTAGTTAAGATTTTAAATATGCACCAACAAATTATTAAAAATATTAACACCATAAAAATATCTTGCATGATATAATAATACGTTTCATATATCATTCAGATATATGCAAAGAAGACCAATTATCTATACAGCATGAAATAACTATGAAGTATAACGTATACGTAAGACTAAAGTGTTGCAATTATATGAGATATATCAGCTAATGATTTCTCTTAATAAACTATAACGCACATTTATACCCCTTTTTCGCAACATTGTTTTAAGAGGAAAAAAAAATCTTTACCAAGAAAAAAAGTGTTATCCAAATTAGTGCCTCAACAGCTTTTCAGACAGTATTCCATTTTTATTTGTTTCTTAAACATCATTTTAACTCGGTATTAAGTGTATTAAATATTTTAAACTACTATTTTTGTAAATAATCTTACTTAACGGGCAGTTTTTGTTGAATGACAAATCTTAGCAGTATTAGCCTTTCTCTTTAGGTCCTACATGCATTTCTAAGGACGTTACTTATTAACATGCATGTTCAATAATAGCTAACCTAACATGCATATTTAATAATAGTATTAATTAAATATCAGTCGTTATTTATTGAAAATTATTTAACAGACATGAACTGATAAATATCTTCTGTAATTATTTATATTACATTTACAAGAAGTAAAATTACTAAAGGAGCCCACAAATGCTCACAGAAAATGCAAAATATACAACTCAGAAAAGGAGAAAAAATCGAATAATTTTTCTCTTAAATCGAAATAAAGAAACCAGAAAATATTCGCGAAATGCTAAATCTTTTGCCTTTGTTACAAATTAAGACAGCAGTTTTATGCCAAGTAGCAATTCCTTTTTTGTCTTGTTCATTTGTTAATTTTCTGCTCAAAATTTCTTCCTTTGAAAATGGGCTTTAGTAAGAACTAGACAAAATATGTTGCCTTTTTTATGTGCTGTTATGTATAAGACTTTAATTAATTCAATTGACTTCTTATTTTAGCTTTTCTTTTTGTCAGCTCTCATTAAAATGCCAAATTTGATAAATATAAATATTCACAGAGTTCTTATTTAAGAGACAGCTTTTGTAAGCGACTACTACTCTGCTTCGCTTTTCAGCTGGTTGAATTTAACTGATCGGCTTCAACTAGCTCTTAGGGCGGAACAAGGTTTAATAGGGCATGCCTGAATTTGTATTCCGTATTTAGTTTAAATTTGAGTTACCCGCAAGGAGCAGGGTTTTTGTTTCTGTTAAACTTTTGAATTTGTCTAACTATCAGATTGGCATGCCAATAAGCAATTTTTATTTTAAATCTTCACTTTAAGTTGTGGTATCTTTAGTTAGAATGCGGACAGGACGATCTATCCGCTCACCAGTCGAATTTTTTTAATGGTCGGGCGCTTTAATTAATGGCCTTGCGCCACTACAAGGGCCGGAAGTGATGGCCATTTCATTATAGAAGTACCTAACAGGTGGCCACCGTTGCCTGTTATGAAGGGACGGACAGTTACAACCATGCCTTCTCTATGATTTGAACCGGGCCCATCTCTACGGCATTCAAGGTCACTAATCAATATACCGGCTGGGCGACAACCAGTCAAAAGGAAATTTCAGATATTATTATTTGAAAGCATGCGCTCCAAATTGTGATGAATTAAAATAATAGAGCTCTCATGGTAACGGTTACATCGAAACAATTTCGAAATTTAACACTCACTTTTTTCCTGCGCAAATTGACCAGCGCATTGAAGTTGGAACAATACACATATGACAAAAACTTTGCGTAAAACATTTGCAAAGAAAAGCATTATAAGGATCAATGACAACACAGAGAGGAGATGCATTGTCTCACTTTGCCTAATCCACAGGGATAGACAGTAGAAGTGTTCACTGGGCTGAAGGAATTACCTTCGCGTAGTGGCACCAGCGTCTTTACAAGAAGCTAAATTGACTGTGTGGTGTGGTGCGGTGCGGCATTGCAAGCATATTTTTTTTTGAACCCGTACTTCTTCGAAGAGGTCACTTCGATAAGTAAGAAACGAGCTCCATCACAAGTACTCGGTATACAAAAATGTTGCAGAGTTACGTAACTCCAGAATTGCAGGAGCGAAATGTCGTTCATGGCACTATATGGATGAAAAATGGAGCTCCTCTACACGTGTTCGGCAAATGCTGCAGTAACGCTATAGAGTCATCTTCCGTAACTTTGCAGTTTCGTGGATACAGGGATGCTCTGACTGGGCTTCGGGTTCTGAGATTAATCTAAGGTATACATATCAATTTCACGAGATACCGTAAAATGCGAAGCTATACAGATTCCTCCTGCGTTCGTCATTGTGGTCAACAATTTCCCGCATGCGATGCGTCTGCAAAGCTGGGCACATTGAAAACTTGTAATTCCAGTAAATGTTTTCCCCTCTCTTCTTGCTTGTGCTGTCATTGGTCCATTACCATGCTCTTCTTTGCAAATGTTTTACGCTGGCAGTTCGTCATACGTCTATCGTTCCAATGCCATTTATGGTTTTTTAATGCACTGATCAGTTTGAGTTAAAAAAGTGGGTGTTGCTGTTCAAAAATTTCAAAATTTTTCGCAATAGTTGTGAGAGCTCTATTCTTATAAACCATCACAATCTCGGGCGTATACCTTCAAATAACAATATCTGAATTTTTTTTTTTCGATTGGTTGAGAAGATAGGCTGCTAGGGGTTCATATATCGCGGAAGATTTTTTATGACCCCCTTGTACTTAAAGTGGTGTCTCTGATTACTTAGGTCAAATTTTGAAGTTAGTCTTTAGTATCTTTCCACCATATCGAATTCCTTGAAATTTTAGATACTTGCGTGTTTGCGATGAGAATAAAATATTCCAAAAAAGTTTTCATAAATCCGCACAGAATTCTTCGACTTAGTTTTGAAGTTTTATTACTAAACCGAAAAATTATTCCTTCTGCCGATCACTAATCATGGCAGAACTCATTCTAGTGTAATTTATCAAACTTCCACTGTTTTTGAAAAATCTTTTAATCACTTAGCTATTGCGCAGTTGTAAACGATGATGAAATTCAATCACTCATTAATTCTAATTTAATCGTTCATTGTTAGTGGCTCCGACTAGTGGATTAAGCATTGAAGAAAGAGATCCGATTTCTAAATCAAAGAAAAATTTAAATAGGTTAAATGCCTATATGCGCTATTAGTTTGATTTGAAGAAATAAAATTATGGCGCTGCATATACTTTGTTGCAACAATGATTAGAAATAATAATTTTCTACGTTCAAAGCCAATGATTTATTTCCTTGATTAAATTCTCGTATTTTATAGATTAAAAACCTTAAAATCATAAAATAAATAATAAATATTTTAAATTAAAAAAAAAAATCTGAAAGGTTTTAGATTTTAAATTACGTCCAAAGGGGCGTTTTTTTTAACATTTTGTCTGTTACCTTTATTTATTCAATATCACGTTCTTCGCACTTTAAACCATAAAATTCAGTTCAAGAGCAATATCGCAAAATAATTTTAAATTGAGCATATCTTTAGAATTTCCGATACGCAGTCTCACGCGCTAGAGATAAAAATGTTTTTTTCGTACAACGTTGCCATTGCTCACTTTGAAATCGTTTTGTTTGTTAACCAAAAATTCATTACAGTTTTACAAAATATGAAATCGATAATAAAACAAATTCCAAATTTCAAATTTGGGCTTCCACATGCCCATATTCGCAGTAGGATTACGTCATTCAAAATTCGATGGCTCTAGGTACCGTTGTTACATCATAGTGCGAGAAATATACATTTATGCAGATTTTTCATTATTTAATTTCTTCAAATATAATGCAGGACTCAAAAATATGATGACAACAGTTTGAAAAGTGAAACGGACATTTATAGTAAACCAACGCAAAATCGCAAAAAGAAAACAATAGTCCTTCAGGGACAAAGCCCCTTTGGACTAATTAAAGTATAAATTGCTTTAAATTATACGTTAGGAATAAAAAGCACTGATATATAAAAAAGTATTTTAGCTATCTTTTTTTTTTGACTAAAATCAGATCATGAGCTGTCCGTTATGTGCATAGTTTTAGAACATTAATATAATTTAAAAGAACGATAGAAGTGATATATATGTATAAGAGTGTTTACATTTAATTTACTTAAATTCCTCTTTGAAAACTATAGTTTTAAATCTTCCACTTTTAGCAGCACAGTGATTTTATTTTAAGTCACGTATGACAAGAATATTTTGGAAGCTAAAAACCCACTTTTTTAGGGCTTAAACCGCGTAATTAAAAACATTCCTTTTAGATATTTTTTTTTACCTTTCTACTGGGGTTGAGGCCAGAAGCTGCCATGTAAGTACTGCTTATAGTCTTGATTTTCTCCAGAGGGCGGAAACGTTCTTCATCGAGGAGCTAAAAAATTATTTGTCAATGAATATACTTATGATTATAATAGAAAATACGCATAGAATAACACACCATGGCATGAAAAGTAAAGAGTTACTTATCCTTATGCTTAATTTCAAAGCAATCAAACGCATATACGGTGGCTCCCTAAGAAGATGCATATGCATTATTTTGATAAAAAATAGATTTCTGCATCATGCCCAAATATAGTTGTTACGATTATGAGCAGATATAGTATTTTCGATCTGATCTCATGTTACTACAATAGGAAAGGAGGACAATCCATTGTTGAGAATTTATTAATAACTTATTAGTAATGTTCATATGTGAAAATGCTACGTATATTTTGTATGATGTTCACCAATTTTGTGCACTTGAAAATGGGTCCAAGCAATTTTCTGTAACTTTCTCCTCAACCATAGTTTCAGACTCTGTGCAATAGGAAAGACGCCACACTTTTATCTTTTGCATACACATTTTAGATATAACTTTAGAATAATTAACACATTTTAGATATAACTTTAGAATTAGAAATTGCGACAATATGGCTTGAAAATAAAAATTTGTAAGTAATAATTTTAATTTATAAAATTAAAAAAAATTTACAAGCAAAAATAATTATTTATAAAACATTTTTAGTTTGTTTTTTTAACATATTCTATCTCATCTAAACTGTTATACATTAAATAAAAATACTATCGCATTATATTCCAGGTAATTATAATTCTGAATAAATTGCTTTTATTATCATATTATATTTTAGCTCATTAGTATTTTAAGACACTACTAAAGCTACTCTCTTATTATATCGAACTATCGTGCGGTAGCCTATATAATACTAAATATTACTATCATACTGATGTTAATCATGGAGTTTCATAAGCGTGTAATAAATTGCAGAAAGCAGCATTTTGTAAATGAATTTAAATAAAAATTAAGTTAAAGAATTGAGAACAAAAGAGTGTGTATAGAGGAAAACTTCACTATGTTGCATGTATTGGAAAATAGTGCTTAATATATTCATGTTCATCTCTAATTAAATTTTATTTTTATTTACATCCTCATTTTTTATTTTTATTTACATCCTCATTTCAGCACTTCCAGAGAAATTACCTGGGCTTATTTAGTTTAAGCAAAGCATGCCAGGAAACTAATTGTTAAAATAATTTAATTTAAATTTTAATTATCTGAATCTTCTCTTTCACCTTTTGAGAGGATTACCAGTATAATTTAAATACAAAGCCATAAAACGTAGGAATCTTTTGCTTTTCTAAAGAGCAATTTCACGAAAGATTGGTTTCTTTCTTTCACACAGATCTAAAAAAGCTTTTGATAGCTAAAGGGAACTGGAGTTAAATTGATGAGTAGAAAGGTATAATTACCTGATCGAAATCGAAGATAATCTCATTGAGCAGACGGATGCATTCCACACCATTGTTAATATCTTCAGAATAGAAAGAGGCGAAATTCGGAATAGAAGCAAACAGCACGCCACAGCAGCTATAGGACTGAGCATAAAGCTCCTAAAATTCAAGTATAACATGAATATATACATATACACATACATTACCGTAATTTAAAATTTCAGATTGATTTAATTCAGTGTAAATTTAAAACTGTTTGTAGGAATAATTGTGGTAAGAAAAACTGTTTAATGGTTAATATTGAACGGTCGTTAGTCTCAATTCAAGCTTATGGCAATGCTACTGGTATTCAGAAAGAAAAAGGAAATTTTTTTATAAAGAAAAGGTTTAGTTATCAAATAAATACGCATGCAAACACGCTTACATGCATATGTCTACTCTTGTCCATTTGCACATTATTCTTGTGTTGAGGTAATATAAATATTTGAATAAAACTCTGCTAATATGCGTCTCATAGCTGTTTAGTGTTGTGTAATAATAGGTTCTGAGTAAATTACATTTTGATGCTCGTCAACAATTCGATTTTGTTTACCGTGTTGTCAACAAAATTTAATAAAAAATTAAAAACAAATCTGAAAGAGATTTAGATTACATCCAAAGAGGCTTTTTGCCCAGTTACCATTATAATTTTTATTAATGACATGATAACTATTATTATTATTATTATTACAATGATTTCTTACAATAGTTAGTCACCTTTTCCAATCGTCTCTCATGTCCTATCCTCTTTTCATCTTCTCTGAATCGAACTTCGAAATGTTGATTTTACGGGACATCTGATTGAGAGATCTTACGTCTTCTAGATTCTCACCTTGGTGCCGCTTCCTTCGCCAAATATTCTTTGTTTTAACGATTTGGTCTATGAGTTTCAAGTACCTTTTGCAATCGTTTCTCTCGCGAAGCTAACTTTTCTTCTTCCGATAATTTACGTCTTGGCATCTCTTTATTTTGAATATTTATATTTATTTTATATGTATTTTTATTTATATTTATTTCTCTTAACAAATAATAAAATCCCCAAATAATTTAAAAATTAGTATATCTTTAGAATTTCCGATACGCAGTCTCACGCGCTAGAGATTGTTCCCCCCGTACAGCATTGCCATTGCTCGCTTTGAAATTGCTGAGTTTGTTAATCAATTATTCATTAAAGTTCATTAAAGTGTTACAAAATATGAAATTGATAATAAGACAAATTTCAAATTCGGGCTTCTAGATGCCTATATTCAGTGGAAGATTACATTATTCAAAATCGGATGGCTCTAGGTACCGTTGTTTTATCACAATGCGAGAAAAATACATACATTTTATAGAGTCTTCATCATTTAATAATATAATACAGGGCGATAATATTTGGTGGCAACAATTTGAAAAGTGAATCGACATTTATGGGGAACCAACGCAAAATGCCAAAACGAAATTAATAATTCTTCTGGGCAAACTGCCCCTTTGGACTAAAAAATTAGTAATACTTTGCAAGATGTGTAAGATATTTTCTCTCTCCTTACCACGTGCCTTCACGGTGTAGTTGGGAACACGTCTGTTTGGCATCCGGAGATTCGGTTTCGAATCTCGGGGAGAGCTTTGCATATTTTTCCTGTTTCCTGTTTCAACAAGTTTAATGACTCTACAGATGGAGAACTTTTGGCTTGGGAATTATGCTTCCGACCTTTTGAAAAATTCGATGAGTTTTCCAAAGTCTCCTTCAGAAGAAATGTTACAAACTTGATAATACTGTTCCTAGCTTTTGGGGAAGCTATATTCAGTCCAGCGTTGATATGAAACAGCTATAGACTGCAAAATTCTTCAAGACATTCAATGAGGATTGTCGCCTGATACTAATGGCTACAGTGACAGCAAAATTGGAATAGCTTTGGGGTTATGATGGACTGGTTGAGCTTTTGAGAGTTACACTAAGCAATTTAGCGTTTTAGATCCTTGCTTTCAAATCTAGAACGGATCTTAATAATATCAAGAATGCATGTATGTTATGGAATGCATGCACTCCTTATTAGTAAATGAATTTTCTGTTTAAAACCTTTGGACTTCATTAACCATATCTTTTTAACTTCTTTGACGTTCTCATTTTCTATCTTCTTGAAAGGCAAAAGAGCAAAAGGATAAATTTTATAACCATTTTTAGACACTATTTGTTACATAAAAGAGAATTTTTAAAATCAGCTGTCTAAGAAGAAGAAATTATTATTAGCACACAGCCCATAAGCCACATGCGTCGAAAACTTTTGTCCGTTTTACTTTTCAAATTGTTGCCATCAAATATTATCGCCCAATGTTATATTTAAAGAAATTAAATAAGGAAGAATCTGCATAAATGTATGTACGTTTCTCGCATTGTGATAAAACAACGGTACCTAGAGCCATCAGATTTTGAACAACGAAATCCTCCATCGAACATCGGCATCTGGAAGCCCTAATTTAGAATTTGGAATTTGTTATATTATCGATTTCATATTTTGAAAAACTTTAACAAATTTTGGTTTAAAACACTCAACGCTTTCAAGGCGAGCAATGGCAACAATATACGGAAGAAAATTTTTTATTTATTTCCAGCGCGCTAGTATCGGAAAGTGTATCGGAAATTCTAACGATATGCTCATTTTAAAATTATTTTGCGACATTGTTGTTGAATTTATTTGTATGGTTTAAGAGCGAAGAACATGATATTTAATAAATAAAGGTAACATACAAAACGTTAAAACTCCCCTTGGGGGTAATGTAAGATCTGAAAGCCTTCAGAGTTTTTTAAAATTTTATTTTATAATTTTTGTTATTATTATTTTTGTTCATGTGAAATCAGCCGCGAACTCTTAACTTTAAAAAATCGTGCATAGGCTAATTCCAGCTTTGATGCACACGTACAAGATACTTATTTATGGATATATTAATAGTATTCATTCCAAACATTGTTTTATTTCCCAGAAATAATTTAGATAGCTAGTTAACGTTATCTTTACAGGAAGTTTAATTATTCAATAGATTTCAATATAACTGCAGACGAAATTAAAGAATACCGACAATAAAGGTAATAAAAAGTAAGTACTAATACAGGTATTGCACTTATTTTTCACATTCCAAAATGTTTAATGATGAAAGAGGGAGAATAATTTTCTTTAGGCACTGATGGTCACTAAAGTGCCAAGCCCTCTTAGTAGCATTAGAGTAAATCAGTATGCTGAGATCCCTTATACGACAACCACTCACAGAAATGACCATGGATTATCATGGGATCCTTATGTTCGTGAGAACTCCAGTCAAGTGCCCAATGGACCCATGCGTTAAAACGGCTCTGCTAAAGTGTAGTGTTTAGATTTTGCAGGATGCCCTCAAATTACAGAACTTGCTATGGCAAAACGCCAGGGAATAAATTTATGATTACTGCCTTAGCTTTTCGCCTCAGTTGACTTATGATCTTTTCAATAAAGGTAGAAAGTATAGTATGACAACTAAACTTGCGCTGGTAATTTTAGAGATTCAGTGTTTTCATGACAGAAAATTCCAAAAGTGCCTAACAATCAAAGCACTGAATTCCTTTTATTATGGATATGGAAAAAATGGCATAAAATATATAACAAAGAAAAAATACTGCACGCACTTTTTTGCAAAATTGGATAGATATTCCACTTAGCAAAGGACTTCCGAAGGGGAATATTGCGTGAGCGATACCACACAAATATCACGCTTGACAATCGCTGGAGAATTTTTATACACCGAAATCAAGCAATGCTTTAAAAAAATTTGACATAATAAATGGAAACTTCAATTTTCTTCGACAAACGAATGCTTACTTTTGACATTACTGTATTTGACGTGCTTTTTCTGCGATCGAAAACAAAAGAGAATTCAGTAAACACCAAGATTCATTAAGCATATCGATCGCATCATTCTGAATAGGAAGAAAATCACGATCACATGCTTCTAAAAATTGATGTATACGTATTATTCCGTTTACAGAAATGTTGGCCTTGTTGTCTGGCGACCAGATTTTAAAATTTTTAATGGGGCTTAAAAACAGCAGTCGTACTTGATTTACAGTACGACAGAATATACTTTTAAAATATGAAAAAACAGAATAAAATTATGAAAGATTTCAAGAGAAAATATTAAAATATAATGTAATTTAGTCATAATTATTCATTACATTTAAATAAAGTTTATCTACAAAAAAGAAGATTTTTTTTGCGTTCTGAAAAAAAAAAAAAAAAAAAATGCATCTTCATTATCACTTGATTTTCAAATATAATATTATGTTATGGTCCTTTTTGCCTTTCTTTTTACGATTTTCGTAAAAAAATATGAATACAAAAGAATCGCTGGAAGCTACTTTTACAGCGTAATGAAGTATGCAGTCAGAGGTTCAAAATGGCTGTGTTACTCAGTGTTGTCAGAATTTCTAGAGGTAAATAAGACAAAAATCGAAATGTAGAAAGAGATACCACGTGATGTGAAAGATCACGTGATTTTTTGCGACGTCATAAGTTTTAGGTCACACGATCTCCGACGTCATCACAAATTTTTCAGTCTCCATAGCTTCCGTTGAGGTATGGACTGGAGTTCTATTCTTGGTCGTTTTACTACGTATATTACTTTTTAGTAAGATCTTAAAACCAGATTGCACACTTTTCATTGTTTGAATCTGTACTTCTTTTAATCAATTCTCAGTTAATTTTAGGTTGTTATTATTCAAAATTTGGTCAAATATGTTATTAGTTGCTTTCTCACGTTTGAATTGTTAACATTGTTGTATTAATTCTTTTGAGTTCATGGTTATTTTTTATTTTTTCAATTAAACAATATGTTAGAGATAGTTATTTTAATTATGAACGGGAATGTCTAAGCTTCTAAATTTTTACCCTGTTTTCTTAAGTTTGTATATATCAATTATTTAAAAAATGTTCATTTTAAAATTAATCAAGTAGCTTTTGAAATAAATATATAATAAAACAAACCTATTGAACAGTCTAAGACAACCATGCGTTTTCAAACATAAAATTTTGTTTATGCATTAAAAAAGTTCTGTGCTTTATTAAATAAATTTTAAGTACCCTCAGTTCGCGTTTACATAAGCAATAAGCTTTTATGTCTGTTTTCTTTCTTTGTAGCCAGTTCTAAAACATGGGTATTTTTAGACGCCCAGTTTGAAAGGTGGTAGTGAAATTTTTCACATTACTCATAAATCACACTTCAGTTATAATCTGAATTAAACTTTGCAGTCCAACCCACAAATCACCAAAATATTAAAAAAGCAATTAATGAAACACGCGAAGAGACCAGAGATTAGTGTTAAGAACTGACTACCATCAACGGGCTATAATCGCAGATTTTTATGTAAGTCTAAATATTTTTTTTATATTAAATTAGACTGTTTAATAGGTACATTATTCTTTAATTGATATATTATATTAACATTTACGCATTTTACGATACATACGGTGCTTATTCGTCTTACTAAGAAAGTACATACCTCGTAATTTCTGTCTTGCAGTAGGAAGTAGGATGCAACATGGTCGGGAAGAATGTTCTTGAGAAGCTGTTGATTATGTTGCCTCAGTTCTCTCATTTCTTGCAGTTCCTTCTGAGCTTGCAGTTTCCATAAGAAATCCAATCGGGAAGTAATCTCAATCTACAAAAGAGCAACATTTTATAAACTGAGCAACTTGAACTACTATATGAAAGCGGAGCTCAGACAATGACATGAGTAATTTAATCTCAATGCATAATGATATTGTAACTGGAGCACGGTATGAAATTAGTTTCAGAAGCCAGTTCAAGAAATATTAAGCAGATTCGAAAAGACAAGTCTATCTAACTGACTATCGATATCTGAAGTATTTGGGAAGTAGTATTAATTCCTTTAGAGCACAAAAGGTAAGGTTTTCCAAATTCGAAAATTGCAGACTGACTGAAGAATAAAGATCTAAAATTCTAGGATTTAAAAATTACCAAATTAGCTAGAAACAATGCACACATTTTCCCCTTAAAAATGAGTTTATTAAAAATTCGAACATGTAAGAAGATATGAGATAAAATAACACTAAAATTAGCATTAATGCAGAACATTTCTTCTTCAGCTGTATAAGTGATGTAATTGAAATAGAAGTCTCTATTTTAAGTCTTGGAAATCAGTCTTGCTAGTTTACTATATTACGCTGATTCTTATCGTCTTAAAATCTCAAATAAACGTAAGAAGATGCTAAAATCAAAAGAAAAATGTTTAAATATCATAAGCTAATAATTTTAAAACCTTGTTTATAGTATGTACCTAAAACTTTCGTTTAAAATTCTTAAAAAGTAAAAGTACAGGTTATAAAACAATGTCCAAAAGAAAGTCCGTCCATAATTCGAAATGAACGATTTGATCTTGAGGAAAATGATCGCATTGAGCAATTCAATTATACTCAATTGAAAAAAATATATTTGCGGTGCCTATTAGCGGCATGAAAAGTTCTCAAATCTTAACTCTACAACGAAGCTGGTTAGAAGAAAATGATAAATTATTGAAGTTGTACAGTTTCATTTCATTACTTCCAGTCGACATTCAGAATATGTCGAATACTTTAATAATTAGCAATTAATTCGTATAATTAATTAATTAAGATTCGATAATTATTACACTATTATTAATTGCTAATTATTATACACTAAATTGTAATAATTAGCAACTAATTACACGTCATTGGATAGGCTTGTCTCTTATCGCCTTAGAGTTCAGGCTTGGAGAGGCAAAAAGCATATTCTAAAGACACATCCTCAGCATGTTTTTAATACCTTCAAGTCCAAACCTGCTAATTTGAAGGAACAATTTTTTGGTGGAAAATAGTTAATTTCATAGTTTGTCTTGAAGTCAATACATAACTTATCCGATTTCTTTTATCTCCCTCTTCCTTTCTTGTTTTTCTCTTTTCTTTTTGGCTCAAAGGGGTGTTAGCCTATTTGTCTCGAAACGGCATTTTGCGTTGAATCACTATAAAAGGCCTTATCACAATTCAAATTGTTGCCACCAAATATTATCGCCTTGCATAATGTTTGAAACAATTAAATAATGAAGAATCAGCATGAATGTACGCATGTTTCTCGCACTGTGAAAAAATAACGATATCTAGAGTCATCAAAGTTTAAATAACATAGTCCTTCACGTGACTATGGCAACCCAGAATCCTGAATCTTGACTTTAGAATTTGTCTTATCAACTATTTCATACTCTTTTAAAGTTTAACGAATTTTTGATTAAGAAATTCAACGATTTCAAGGCGAGCAGTGACAACGCATTGTACGGAATAAAATATTTCTATCTCCAGCGCGCGAGACTGTCTATCGGAAATTCTAAAGATATGCTGTTTTTAAATATTGTCAGTCCAAAGGCGCGTTAGTCCAAATGCTCTTGAAACATGTATGCATGTGTAAATGAAAAACAAATGCCCCTTTAGGCGTAATATAAAATCTGAAAGCTTTCAGAATTTTTTTAAAAATTTTCTTGTGTAAACAGTGAAAAGATTCAAAGTTTTCTTCATTTCAAGGAAAAACGTTACTGTATCAATAAAAGATCTTAAATCTGGATGTTCTTTTTGAAGTGCGGAAAGAGAATGACTACCAGTTTGATACCGCAATGGTATTTGATACTACAGTAGCATACATACAATGTTATATAATTTTCAGAGTCTGTGTTAGTTATGAATTGCAATAAAAATATTCGTATAGCAAAGCATACTCAAAGGCCCCATTTTGGACATGAACTTCTGGGGCATATACAGTATTCCTCCCTAAAAAGTATCTTAACATGCATTGGTCAAACTAGAGAGCCTTGAAATTTCGTAGCATAAAACCCATGTTAGGGTAAAAAAACTTCTTTCGTTGGTGAATCATATTTTCTAGAGGTTTTTCACATCCATAAAGGTCTTTCTAGTCAATATTCGTAATTTTAATCCGATTTTACCTTCAAGTTTTAAGGAAATTATTTCCTAATTGTTTTCACTTTTCTCAACTGCTTATTTTCGCTTTAATCAATACCTTTGTTTCCTTCCATTAAGTAGAAGTTTCTTAAATTTTTGGTCTGTTGTTGTCGCGTGAGCAATAACATTTACTTCGCCATCGAAAACCTAACATTACATTCCTTCGTCGAGTGAGCATAAACTTCGTCAATTTTACTCCTGCAGCTGAAGAAGAATTCAAACCTTCTAAACCGGTCCTGAAAATTAATGCAGTTTACGTTTTGAGTTTGGTTTGGTATTTCCAATATAATATGATACTGATTTAATTTTCTATCAATGCATGGTATTCGATATTATTAGTTTTAAAAGCAACATTCTCAACACCAGCTTTTATTTAAACTGCTACAGAAATTCACAAATCAGATGAGTTATGATTTAATTTAACGTTTAACTTTGCTATCAATGCACTTTTAGTTCACGATTTAAAACTATTAAATATTCAACAAAGAAGGCCAACTACAAAGAAATTAAATATTTTTACAGCGCTTTTAGTAGTATTACTTAGATTTCAAATGAAATGATGGAAGACATTTTCTTTTGAATTTGTTCTCCAAAAAAATTATCCATTTCATATTTTACTTATTAAGATTTTATTTCTTGAACTTCACAAAAATTGTTGTATTTTCATGTGCATTCTGAAATCTAATTCACTTAAAAATGAAATCATAAATTCTAAAAAACTACTATTGCCTTTCCTCTGCCTCGATCGTCTGTGTTGTAAATTATTAACATGCTTTTTTCATTGCATACCGAAAATAAATAACCATTGGTTTTAGGTTTTGATAGCACTTTCTTGTGAAAGAGACTGATTTAGCCTAGCTACTAGAAATAAATATTTTCAAAAATGAATAATCAAGAATAATGAATAATGAATCTGAAATAATCAAGAATTAATTTTGACACGCGAAAATATTTTCAATCAACTATTGGAATTCCCTTTTTGTCATTTTTTAACATGAACAAAAGAAGACCTTTTTCTGCGACTGAAAAAATATTTGAGTAACGAAAAGTTTTTAGCAAAAGTTTTGGTAGATGAATTAGAAATAGGAGAAATCCAACTTCAATTTGCTCCTAAAATAATTAAAGAAGATAAAATGAATGAAGTTAATCTTCATTATTAGATTTAAAAGGAAATATATATGTATGTGTGTATGCATAAACGCATGCTCTTCGAATTATAGAAAAATAGCAGCACCAAATTGTGACCATTCATAATCCTCGACGCGAATATATGCTCTTCGAAGCTCTAATTTTGAATTTCGAATTTGTTTTTTTATTCATTTCATATTTTGCTCTAATGTAATAAAGTTTTGATTAAAAAACTCAAATGGAATGTGTTGATACTGCCGAAAATAAAACATTTTTATTTTTCACAGGCCAGTGAGATATGTTATTTATCAAAATGCAAGATATTTAACTTGTTTTTCAAATTTAATTCGTCTGTTATTGAACAGCAAACTAAACGATTCAAGAAGCGTTATGTTTAAAAACAATATTCGTAATTCTGAATAATAATTTTTTAAAAGTTTTTATTCTAATTAATTTTCATAATATATCTAATAAAAAACGTTAAATAATTTTACGAGATTACACTGTCTGGACTCAGAAAAATCATTACATATTTTTCCTCTTTTGCAAAAGTGATTTAGGTGGCTAGTAATGAAAAAGGTAATGGTGTGATAGTTATATTAATTTTCGGACTGTCGTATTTCGTTTTTACTTCCTTCAAAACAATTTGTACAGTTTACAAGTTTCGTTAAAATTTTATTTATGCCAGAGTAAGTTTAAATACAGATTAGATAAGTTTTAGTTCTCCAATGGAAGATGTTTTTTGAATAATTTTGGCAGCAGAAAAATTGAAAGTGTGATTTTCGGACCAACAATGTTGAGCAACAGAGGACTTCTGTGTTTCCTTTTTTCTAACATATGCCTCATGTTCCTTGATGCGAAATTTTAGGGCTCTCTTAGTTTGGCCAATGTAAATTAAACCACACTGGCAAGGAATCCTATAAATACCCCAGGAATTCATATCCGGAATGGGGTCCTTGAGTATGGAACTTGGAATTTTATTGATGGGAGAATAAACAACCCGAAAGTTAAATTTCTACAAAATATGTGAAACTTTATAGCTAATGGATCAGGAAACCAACCGTGCTTTCACCAGGCATCGAATCACTAATTTCCCACATTGTTGCCTGGATGTACTGAATGAAAAAGGCGAGCACAGGGAATCATTACAATTTTAAGAGTTAAGAGATAAAGCACATGACTATCTAGTTGACTGGTTGATTAGAGTTGTGAACTATTAGCGGCTTTTGTTCGCCTGCTAGTGAGAAAAATCTGATATGTGCACCACGACTTCCTTGTACGGAATATTAAATTATAGGCATTTTTTGCTACCTTTCATTTAAACTTATTTCCTCAAATTTCATTAAAGATATATTTCTCATTCCATTAATTCAGTTCTTACTTCGCGACAAGGCAAAAGTACATAAAACCTCAAATATCTTTATTAAAAATTGAAAAATATAAAACATAAATGCAGTTAAAACAATTTAAAGAAAATTTTTTACAATTAGAATTAGAATTTCTACGCAAAACAAGCAGTTCGGCTAGCGGGCAAGAAGGCAGGTTT